TAAGGCATGGGAACAAGATAATTCAGTTATGGCCAGGATAAGTAAAATGTCGTAATGAGATAGTTGAGTCCTGGCCACGACTTAGTAAAGTGTGGGAATGAGACAGTTTGGTTGTGGCCACAACTTAGTAAGGCATGAGTATGAGACAGTTAAGTCATGGCCACGGCTTAATAAAATGTGAAAACGAGAAAGTTGAGTCCTGGCCACGACTTAGTAAAGTGTGGGAATGAGACAGTTTGGTTGTGGCCACAACTTAGTAAGGCATGGAAATGAGACAGTTAAGTCATGGTCACGACTTAGTAAAATGTGAGAACGAGATAGTGAAGTGATAGCCACAACTTCATTAGACATGGACTCTGGCCACGACTTAACAAGGCATGGGAATGAGACGGTTAAGTCACGGCCACGACTTAATAAAATGTGAGAATGAGATAGTTAAGTCACAACCACAACTTAGTAAGGCATAGGAATGAGATAGTTAAGTGAGGACCATTTAGTTAGGTTTTGTGTGTGTGTGAGAGTGTGTGTGTGTCTGTGTGTGTGTGTGTGTGTGTGTGTATGTGTGTGTGTGTGTGAGAGTGTGTGTGTGTCTGTGTGTGTGTGTGTGTGTGTGTGTGTGTGAGCATTGGTTCAGGCAACCGGCCGCGCTCCATTATACTTCTAATCCATATAATGAGATTCTCTACAGCAGCTAAACACACACACACACACACACACACACAAACACACAAACACACACACACAAACACACACAAACACACACAGTTAAAAAGAGAGTAATGTTATAACACAGAGCTCAGCTGAAGAAAAATAGGTTGTAATCCTAAACAGACTTACATAAACAACGGATCATATAACACCCACATAACACACTGCAGAACATAAACACAGCCTCACACACACACACACACACACACACACACACACACACACACACACACACACACACACACACACACACAAACTCACACAGTGCTTTACTAACACACTCAAACACCTCAAATAAAGTATTGAACTGAAATTAATACATGTTGAATTTACTTAATTAAAATGTGCAATCATTTCACATAAAATAAAATTTATTATATTAACATATTTGTTTTAATAATGCATTAACAAAATCACTTTTATAGTACAAAAACACATTTATAATACACCGATCAGGCATAACATTATGACCACCTCCTTGTTTCTACACTCATTGTCCATTTTATCAGCTCCACTTACAATATAGGTGCACTTTGTAGTTCTACAGTTACAGACTGTAGTCCATCTGTTTCTCTGCATACTTTGTTAGCCCCCTTTTACCCTGTTCTTCAGTGCTCAGGACCCCCATAGACCCTCACAGAGCAGGTACTATTTGGGTGGTGGATCATTCTCAGCACTGCAGTAACACTGACGTGGTGGTGTGTTAGTGTGTAATGATGTAATGTGTAATGGTGTAGTGATGTAAAACCAGAGACGATAGCTCATCTGCTGCTGCTCAGTTTGTGTTGGTCATCCTCTAGTCCTTCATCAGTGGTCACAGGATGCTGCCCTCAGGACGCTGTTGGCTGGATATTTTTGGTTGGTGGACTATTCTCAGTCCAGCAGTGACACTGAGGTGTTTAAAAACTCCAGCAGCACTGCTGTGTCTGATCCGCTCAGACCAGCGCAACACACACTAACACACCACCACCACGTCAGTGTTACTGCAGTGCTGAGAATGATCCACCACCCAAATAGTACCTGCTCTGTGAGGGTCCATGAGGGTCCTGACCACTGAAGAACAGGGTAAAAGGGGGCTAACAAAGTATCAGAGAAACAGATGGACTACAGTCTGTAACTGTAGAACTACAAAGTTCACCTATACAGTAAGTGGAGCTGATAAAATGGACAATGAGCGTAGAAACAAGGAGGTGGTCTTAATGTTACGCCTGATCGGAGTTTATCCCCTTATTATACAGCTTATAACTAATATATTTTGCATTAGTCATTACAAACGATTTAATATTCATGTTATTCATATGTTTGTGTTATTTACCATTTATAATAAAAAACAGCAAAAAGGTCTTTACAGTGGAGTGCTGCCAGATAGTGATCTGAACTCCTTTTCAGTTCTTTTTTGTAACTATTAGAAAGCTTTGCCGGATAACGATCCAGGCTTTGAGCACGTCTGGTAAGAGGACACTGAGCTGGATGGGATAAAGATCCGACTCTTCAGTCTCCGGAGCTAGGAGAGAGGCTGTGCTGCCAGATAATGATCCAGCCTTTCAGGTTCGGTGGTAAAAGAGAGGGCGGGGCTGCCAGATAGTGATCTCACAGCTTTGTCTGTGTGTATGAGAGAGAGAGAGATGCGGAAGATAGCGCTGTTGTTCAGGCCTTATCTTCTGTAGGCCTCATATCCACACAGTCAGACATGTTGCTGTGACATAAAAACAACAACAAAGCAAGAGAGGGAAATGAAATATGACTATATATTTATTCCTTTTTTCTTTCAGCTTCTTCCAGCAGGTTTACAGTGTTTAGTCCTTCAGTTTTCACTCTTGTTTTTCTATACATTTGATTTATATTATATGACAAATAAGTTTTTTTTTACTCATTTGTTATTTATTATACCATTTGAAAGCACAGCTGACCGTTACATTGTGTGAGCACTTCATGGTAAATGGACCAACAGAAAAGCAAAACAAAGCTTCTGTTCAGGTACGTTTTTCGTTCATCAAGGTACAAACAGTGTAAATGTTCCCTCAAAGGTACAACAGTGGTTTTAAGGTCTGATTGTGAACCTTAAATAAGTTTTTCCAGGTGAAAAGTTCGTATTTGTACCTTTTCATAACCGAATGTTTTAAAACAGAACAGTAAAATAAAAGCCTGGAGACGAGACGGGGTGTGTGGAGTCAGTACAGCTTAGAAAATACCATTTCAGTGGATTATGGTTCAGTTATGTTCCCTGACTAAAGGTACTGAGATGTACTTATGAGGGAACCACCCCAGTGACAAGAGCAGTACTGCCCCAGTGACAGTTCCTTCATACTTTCCTGCCATACACTGGTGATTGTTTTTAATAACCTAAATGGGTTTAAATGTAATACCATGTGGTTGCTGAGGTGCTGTTGGGCCATTGCTATGGTATCCCAGGTGGTTGTTAAGACTGTTGGTAGGCTGTTGCTATGGTATCCTAGGTGGTTGATAAGGTGTTGGTAGGCTGTTGCTATAGAATCCCAGGTGGTTTCTAAGGTGTTGCATGGCTGTTGCTGTGCTATCCCAGTAATGACTATAAGGCCGTTGCAGGGCTGTTGTTATGGTATCCCAGGTGGTTGCTAAGTTGTTAAGTTACGCTTTATTAATCCCACAACAGGGAAATTCCACCTCTGCATTTTACCCATCTGTGCAGTGAAACACCCACATACACACTAGTGAACACACACACTAGGGCAGTGAGCACACTTGACCGGAGCAGTGGGCAGCCCTATTCACGGCGCCCAGGGAGCATTTGGGGGTTAGGTGCCTTGCTCAAGGGCACTTCAGTCACGAACTGTCGGCTCAGTGGATCGAACCAGCGACCATCTTGTCACAAGGCTGGTTCCCCAACCTCTGTTGCTATGGTATCTCAGGTGACTTTAGGGCTATGGCAGGGATGTTGTTATGGTATCCCAGGTGGTTGCGAAAGTGTTGCTCAGCTATTGCTGTGCTGTCCCAGGTAATTGTAGTTCTGTTGTAGGGCTGTTGCTATGGTATCCTAGATGGTTGCTAAGGTCTTGTTAGGCTGTTGCTATAGAATCCCAGGAGGTTTCTAGGGTGTTGCTTGGCTGTTTCTGTGCTATCCCAGGTGACTGTAGGGCTATTGCAGATGGTTGCTAAGCTGGTCCCAGCTGGTTGCTAAGGTGTTGTTAGGCTGTTGCTATGATATCCCAGGTGGTTGCTCAGCAGTTGCTGTACTGTCCCAGGTAATTGTAGGGCTGTTCCAGGGCTGTTGCTATGGGATCCCAGGTGGTTGCTAAGGTGTTGTTAGGCTGTTGCTATGGTACCCCAGGTGGTTGCTAAGCTGTTGGTAGGCTGTTGCTGTACTGTCCCAGGTAATTGTAGGGCTGTTCCAGGGCTGTTGCTATGGTATGCCAGGTGGTTGCTAAGGTGTTGCTCGGCTGTTACTGTGCTATTCCAGATGATTGTAGGGCTGTTGCAGGGTTGTTGCTATGGTATGCCAGGTGGATACTAAGGTGTTGCTAGGCCATCGCTATGGTATCCCAGTGTAGTTGCTAAGGTGTTGTTAGCATACTTGTATGATGGTGACAAAAGATCAAATCAGTTAAAAAAAACTTTAGCTTTTTTTTTATTTTGATTTTGTGATTCTAACTCGAAAACTGTAGGACGAGTAGCGCTGCCAGTTGTTGATACTAGAATAACAATAACAGGACGGAGATAATGAAGAACAGTAAGCTGTTAAACTTAATGACAATTGTGTAATTAATTACTTTTACATTCTCTGTTGACATGATAACTTTTAATTAAATTCAAGCCACAATAAAATATGAAATCTTCTGCTTACAAACACAAAATAAGGTTTTCATTCCAAAACGTAATAAACAGCACTTTAATGATTTGTATTTTTCTTTATCAGATACATTGTTTGGAGTGGGCTACACTTACACGAAATGTCAATGCTGGATTATGATTAATATCACCTTTATTAGAGGAATAAAAATGTGTTTTTGACAAACTGTGTTATATGTCAGCTGTTAGCGTAGAGAGAGGAAGAGAGAGGTGTGTAAAGAAGTGTCTCTCTCTCTCTCTGATCGATTCTCTGTGGTAGTGTAAAGTGTCAGCAGTAATTGTGTGAGTTCTGTATTTGTGTGTGTTTTGTGCTAAATATTGATTTTCGTCTCCGTTCTAACTCACCTATACAGAAGAGCAGCTCACTGGAGACCCCAATGTACTTGTTAACCGCTGTGAAAAGAGTACTGAACTATAAAGCCGTCAGTTTTAGGTGTACTTCATTTGGTTCTGTGTTCTCCATGCAGGCTGGAGTTTCAGTATGGGCTCTGCGTATCAGTTCCACAGCTGGAGAGTGTTTGTGGTGGTGTGTGCGCTGCCGTGTGTGTGCGCGGTCGTAGCCCTCACCTTCATGCCTGAGAGTCCTCGCTACTACCTGGAGGTAAGACAAGAATGTGTGGGGGGAAAAACTGGGCTGTTCTTGCTGGTTTTGGATGGTTTCTGCCAGATATTTTCTGCGTTTTCAAACAGCATCAGCCATTCATAATCTTAATCCGAATAACTGGTGGTGTGTTCAGGCAGGGATAGGGTTTACTGTGACTGGCTGAGGGCCGGTGGCATAAGATGGCACGGTTTAACTTCCAGTATGATCATGATCAATGATGTATATCTCATCATTCAGGCATCCTCATCACCAACAATGAGTGTGTTTTCATGTACTTAATAATCCGATAACTGCAGAAAATCAGATTTTGTCAGTAATCCGATCAACGCATTTACACGCACTTGGATAATCAGATAATGGGGAAACTCCGGGTCTACATGAGTCAGGCAGTAATCAGATTTGCCAGACATGCCATGGGTTTTTTTAAGAAAACATCACTCCATTTTACCTAAAAATATGAACATACATCATCTAGAAGATGAAGAATATTTAAATCCTTCATTTCGTTAAGAATGTATTTGGTTTCAGCGTCGCTCCAAAAGTGTTTTGCTGCATCTCGTGGTGACGCTGCTCGCTTATTTCCGGTACCGCCGTCTGTTTTCGCACATGCGCAGACTGAGATATTCGAAAGAAATCAGAGTAAGTGTTTACAGGCACTGAGAAATCTGATTACTGAGCTAAAATCCAGCTCTCTTTATCAGATTTCTTAATCGTATTTCTAGATTGGAGTATGGTGTTTACATGACCATTTGAATATTCGGATAACTGCAGATTGAGTGCATGTAAACTCAGTCATTGAGTAAAAGAGAGAAGGGCTTCAAAATGTATGTTCAATTTCCACAGATAATTACAAAGGAAAGTTCTATCAATGACATTTAGCTGTTAGATCTCTGCTATCCAGTAAAGTCAACCTAAACATCGTAGATATCCTAATATATTACCAGCATACATTTACTGCCAATGTTCTTTGTGTTATGCAGACTTGCAGATCTTACCAAGATGCACACCATCTGCCACTAAATTCCCCCTAAATAGGCTGTGACATCCTCATCAGGATTGATCAACAGCTCCTTCACTTCTCAGTAATGCACAAAAGATGCTCTCACCCCTTTTTTCCTTCAGAAACATTAAAAACTCCATTGCAAATACAAAATCACCACAGAAAGTTCTGCTTTACTGGCAGTGCTGCATCACTTTTGTGCACACACAAGGGGCATTTTTGCAGTCTTTCTCAGGCGGCTTGCCACTAGATCAGGGGTCAGCAACCGAAATGTTAAGAAGAGCCATTTTATCCTTTTAACAAAAATCAATCCACCTTAGGAGCCACAACATTTTATATCCATTTTACCATCTTGGCTGTAAATATGTCTCAGTATGTGCTGATGTCCTAGTATAGGTTAAAAAATGAATCTAAACGAAAATGCAGACTTACTTTGCTCTACTTTAAGCTTTAGCTCTGCTATAGCTGCTTTTCTCGCATCTCCAGCAGGAAACTTTTCCTCAAAGTAGAACAGTTTCTTGTAAACTATCTCTCAATGTTCAACTTTTTGCAAGGCTGAAGTCGCTTCTCATTCGCCAGCTTTTTCTTCGAATTTTCCCGTTCCACCTTAAATGGCGCCAGACGCACTAGAATGTAACTGCTGCACCATTTAAGGTGGAACGGGAAAATTCGAAGAAAAAGCTGGCGAATGAGAAACTGACTTCAGTCTTGTGACTTTTTAGTGTTTGACAGTTTCTCGTTGCAGATTAAACGTATCAGGAAACCAGCTGGAGTGATTATAAATGCAAATGAGCCCATTCGTCTCTAAATCATCAATGTCCGTCTTAAATCTTAGAGCTTTACTTTACTGCAAAGGAGGATTATTTTATTTTACTGCAAAGGAAGATTATTTTATTTTACTGCAAAGGAGGATTATTTAATTTTTACCTAAAAATCTAATTCTGCTGTGGAGCCACAACAGGGCAATAAAAAAGCCGCATGCCGCCATCTGTGCACTAGACTTATGGACAAAATACACTCATGTGACGTTTTTATTTCAGAAACACTTAAAACTCAACTGTACAAACAGAATTGCAGCAGAAACATTTCACTTTGCCAGCCGTGATAAAGATGTCATTGTCTTTTCCAATTAACATATTGGCTTCCGTGAGGACGTCTTGATCACGGCTGACAAACAGAAGCTACACTTTTGTTTTACTAATTGAGTTTTAAGTTTTCGTGATTGTAAAACATCACAAGACTGTATTTTGTACATAATTCTAGGAGTGCACTGCTGATGAGAAGCTGCAAAGCATGCTGCCACTGCGGAAAAAAGCAACACATCAACGGTTGTATGACGTTAAAATTCTGCACGTTTGAATGACGTGATTCTTTCTTTCACTCCTCGGTGCTGATGAAGGACATGATACACATCAGTGATTGTGATCTTTGGCAGATCCTGCTAAAATCTCATGTAGAAAGTCACTGTGTTATGCTCACATGGCTTATAACTTATAAAGTGTGCAGCAATTAGCCAATCACTTTCTGAATAAAGCAGTAAAGAGAATAAGTTGGTATCTTCATTTTTTTCAATTTTACTTTTTTACTTAATATGAAACTCCAGTAACCCTTTCCAAATGTTACACTGACTTCCATTACAAGTTTTTCCTTCTCCTGTAAATGTATTATTTTTGAGATACCAGGTTTTGTTCCAACAGTGATGATTGTACTTTATACTTTCTAGTCGGCACAGAGTTGTGTAGGTTTTAGAGAGTAACATAAAAGTAAAGCAAATAAATAATGACTCACTTTTTCAGGGAGTAAAATAATTGCATTGCAATTTGAGAGAAGTAATTCACTGCTGTCAGAACAAAACCTCGTATCTCCATTTTTGCTGTTTTTCAGTATTTGACATAATTTGAAAATGCCTGTTGCCCTTTATATTACATGTAAATGTCATGATGAATGGACCAAAAGAAATGACCCAAAATGACTTGGATAAAAGTCTGGTTCCATTGACTTACATTAAAAGTAAAGTATGTTTCTTCCTCCTCCTGTCAAGTTGGCGTTCTGGAGATGCGAGGTTTTGTTCTGAAAACAGCGAATTAGACTTTTTTTTTATTGGATTAACGTTTTTGAGTAACTGTCTAATTTTTGTTCTCCTCTCTGTAGATGGGGAAGCATGATGAGGCCTGGATGGTGCTGAAACAGATCCACGACACCAACATGCGCGCACGCGGGGAGCCGGAGAAAGTATTTACTGTGAGTATTTCTCCTCATATTTCTGCTCTTATCTAAGAAGACAACGATAAAATGTTTCTCTTTTCTTCTCTGCTTTGTGTTTGTGTAACTCTCTGTCTCCCCCCGTAGGTGAACCGCATAAAAATCCCTAAGCAGCTGGATGAGCTGGTGGAGATGCAGTCCGAGTCAGCGAACCCAGCAACTAAAGTGCTCTTCCGTATCCGGAATGAACTCCGCGGGGTGGGTCCAGCTGCTCCTACGCATCAGTTCTGAGCCTCTAAGCTCGTCTTTAGTGCAGTGGTACCAGCAGGTTATCAGTTAGCCAGATGTGATCTCATAATAAGTAAACACATTTGGGGACTTTTGTTGCTGAGCTGTGGTGCAAGTAAGGATACACCCTCTTTAAAACCCCACCCTCAAATTCCTGTGGCAAACTCAACCACTAAAGGGGCCATATTGAAAAATCTCAACAAATTCATGGGCCAGAAAAAAAATGTTTTTATTTCATTTTGAATTAATGTTGTGCTGCAAAACAAAATGGCCATTGTTTGTTCAAAATACGCAAAAACCTTGAAATATTTCATGAATACTTGAAGTATTCAAAATTTAAATGTCCCCAGGTGCTCAGTCTTTTAAACCTACCTGTCTGCTTGAACTGACAGGCAGCCTTTCTTTGCTGCAAGTTCATAAATACTTGGGCTCAGTTTCTGAGCTGCTGAGCTGACGTTGGGTTTTTTGTTGGTTGAACTGCAGCTGAAATGCTGGTGGTCTGTTTAGTGATATGGCTGGTTTAGAATTGTGTAGAATTGAGGTGTAGCCGCTGTTGTTGGAGTAGGAGATTCAGAGCACACATTACCAGTGCATGCTGGGGACTGTAGTGCAGCACATTGTGAAATGAGCTAATATTAATAGAAAATTAAAATACTTTTGCAGGCCAGACAGGATTGTGCGGGCCTTGTGTTTGACACATGAGCTCCAGTCCGTGCTGTTTCAATATCCAGAGTACAGTTGATAACTCAAGCAAAGCGGGCTAGCTAGCGAAACGCTGTTGTTAGCTAACTGAACTGTTTCTCTTGTAAGAACTGATGGTTTTTTTTACTGCATGTAATGTGTTCTTCACACATGCGACTCTATATCTAGTCTTTTGGGGTCTTTACAGACATGCGATAACCCAATATGTAGCATTGGATTGGGTTAGAAATCTCACACTCAGTTTGTTTTCCCTCTCAGGGTCGGCTCTAGTCTTTTGAGGGCCCTAATCAGGATTTGTTTTGCCCCCTTCATCTGTTTTGGCACCCCCCCCCCAGAGCTACACACTGCACAAAATATCTTAGCAAATGAAAATATCTTAAATGTAGTCAATGAGTGCGTTTACATGCAATGTAATCCGATAACTGCAGAAAATCAGATTTTGTCAGTAATCCGATCAACACGTTTACATGCACTTGCGTAATCAGATTTCTAAACTCTGAATTCTAAATGGTTATTTCAGGCTTTGCAGGGCGACTCACAGCAACTCAGTACCGCTACTTCTTTTAATTCTAACAGAAAACTCTTACATAGTGCAGCTTTAATAATAATAACTTTATTCACCCAAGCCTTTAGACCAGCTTTAGATCCTTTACTATAGAGTATATTGAGTTGGGGATTTCTTATGAAGCTCAGTATATCCACCTATCTAGACATCACTACATTACTGGCATTTTAGAATGATGTTAAGGTTCTCTCTGTGTATCTGTAGTGGTTATGTGTGTCTGTGTGTGGGTTATAGATCTGGCTGACCTTCCTAAAGTGCTGGGATTACCCTGTGAAGGACAACACAGTGAAGCTAGCCATAGTGTGGTTCTCTCTGTCTTTCGGGTAAGAAACAACAGTCCAATCTCACACATTCACACACTTTAAAACCCAACATCACTGCATGAAAGTTTTTTTCTGTTTTTTTATACACCGATCAGGCAGAACATCATGACCACCTCCTTGTTTCTACACTCATTGTCCATTTTATCAGCTCCACTTACTATATAGGTGCACTTTGTAGTTCTACAGTTACAGACTGTAGTCCATCTGTTTCTCTGCATACTTTGTTAGCCCCCTTTTACCCTGTTCTTCAGTGGTCAGGACCCCCATGGACCCTCACAGAGCAGGTACTATTTGGGTGGTGGATCATTCTCAGCACTGCAGTAACACTGATGTGGTGGTGGTGTGTTAGTGTGTGTTGCGCTGGTCTGAGTGGATCAGACACAGCAGTGTTGCTGGAGTTTTTAAACACCTCAGTGTCACTGCTGGACTGAGAATAGTCCAACAACCAAAAATATCCAGCCAATAGCGTCCTGTGGGCAGCGTCCTGTGACCACTGATGAAGGACTAGAGGATGACCAACACAAACTGTGCAGCAGCAGATGAGCTATCGTCTCTGACTTTACATCTACAAGGTGGACTGACAAGGTAGGAGTGTCTAATAGAGTGGGCAGTGAGTGGACACAGTGTTTAAATCTCCAGCAGCACTGCTGTGTCTGATCCACTCAGACCAGCACAACACACACTAACACACCACCACCCAAATAGTACCTGCTCTGTGAGGGTCCATGGGGGTCTTGACCACTGAAGAACAGGGTAAAAGGGGGCTAACAAAGTATGCAGAGAAACAGATGGACTACAGTCTGTAACTGTAGAACTACAAAGTGCACCTATATAGTAAGTGGAGCTGATAAAATGGACAATGAGTGTAGAAACAAGGAGGTGGTCATAATGTTATGATCGGTGTTTCAGTGTTTGGAGTTGTTCACCGGAGGACACATTGGCTTGATTTGCTCCTCAGGGAATACAAGTAAACGTTTCTTCAGGTGCCTCCATACTCAAAAATACACCAAATCTCCTTTTCCTCAGGATATGATGGAATGTTTACGGCCAGTTCACACGGGATTAATATAGCCTGGGTTTATTTCTGTGGTTTGTTTTATAGCATGAGAAAAATATAACCTGGGTTTATGTTTACAGTTCATTTTGTAGCACAGAATTGATAAAATCTAGGTTTATTTATGTAGTTTGTTTTTTTATAGCACAGGATAAAGAAAACCTGGGTTATTGCTACAGTTCAGTTTATAGCACAGGATAAATATATCCTGGGTTATTTCTACAGTTCAATTCATAGCACAGGTTAAATATAACCTGGGTTATTTCTATAGTTCATTTTATAGCACAGGATTAATATAACCTAGGGATCTTTTTACAGCTTGTTTTATAGCATTAAAATAATAAAACCTGGGTTTATTTCTGTGGTTTGTTTTATAGTACAGGATTAATAAAACCTGGGTCATTTTTACAGTTCATTGTATAGCACAGGATTAATATAATCTGGATTATTTCTGTGGTTCATTTTAAAGCACAGGGTTAATATAACCTAGTGCTGTTTCTACTGTTTGATTTATAGCACAACATTAATAGAACCTTGTCTTATTTCTACAGTTCATTTTATAGCAAGGATTAAAATAACCTGGGTTTATTACTATGGTTCTTAGTAGCACAGAATTAATAAACCTGGGGATCTTTCTACGGCTTGTTTTATAGCATGGGATTAATAAAACCTGTTGTTGTTTCTACTGTTTGTTTTATGGCACAACATTAATATAGCCTGGACTTATTTCTGTGGCTTGTTTTATAGCTGGGGACTAATTTAACCTTTATAACCTTATAACAGGATTAATATAACCTGTGCTATTTCCATGGTTTATTTTATAGCATGGGATTAATATAGCCTGGGGTTTTTCTGTGGTTTGTTATATAATAAGTAAAAGCCTTTAATCTTTCATCTTTAAGTGCACAGTCTGGATGACTGATGCGTTGGACAGGACTAAAATCACTGTGAAACAGTGGTTACATTACATTACCTCATCTGCCCACCTAACACTAATCCTTTCTGAGTAGTATATATATCTTTCTGAAAGTTCTGTTCTGCTCTGTCAGGTTTTTAAGATCAAAGAGTTAGCTGCTTACACACACACACACACACACACACACACACACACACACACACACTCATACACACACAAACACACACACTCCCTCTGTCTCACACACACTCTGTATGTGAGTGTAATGAGGTACTGTCCTTTTGTAATTACTGCACTAACGCTGCTGTCGTTAGCCTGGACGGGCCCAGAGGTGGAGCTGCGTGAGAGGGACTACTGTCCGTGTAATTACTGTTGTCATCATAGTCATTGTGTGGATGGGCCCAGAGGTGGAGCTGCGCCAGAGGGACTAATCTCTCTGTAATTACTATTGTCACTATAGTCACTGCGTATATGGGCTCAGAGGTGGAGCTGCGTGAAAGGGACTGCAGTCCGAGCCAGTTTTTCTCTGCTTGATGGGCCGATCACGGAGCTGCGCAGGAAGGCCTGTGTTTTATTCACTATTAAAGCCGTGTCCACCTCTGCAAAGCTCCGCTCTATCTTTCTGTCTCTCTTCGCTTTTTACAAATCAACAAATTGTTTGTAGGCTTTTCGTACCTGTTAACCCAGAACCAACTTTAATCCCAGGTTAAATGATCCTGTGTTATCTTGTTCTGCCATTTGTCTTTGTTTATTTGCCCTGTTTTCTTTATTCTGGGCTAATAATTAATCCCGGAAAGTCACTATGTTTGCAAACTCTTTGTTGAAGGAACATTTCAGTGAAAAATCACAATTTCATTCACGCAATTTTCTAAATAAGCGAATGCAGCCGATCAGCCCAGACTTATTTGGAGCCATGTGGCTAATGTAGCCAAAAAGTAATGGAAAATTATACCTCACCATTTAGCATCATGCTAACTGCATGCCTGAGTCACTACACAGCTGCCTCAAGGCGAGCTGAACTGTTCTGTCCTGTGTGCAGGTACTACGGCCTGTCGGTGTGGTTTCCTGATGTTATAAAGCACCTGCAGGCAGACGAGTATGCATCGCGTGTGAAGAACCACAGGAATGAACGCATTGAAGACTTCACCTTCAACTTCACACTGGAGAACCAGGTCCACTCTAACGGACTCTTCATCAACGACAGGTCAGTCACAGAGTCTGTGACCTAACAATGATTCGATTTAATTAGGATTCTTTAGGAAACAATTCAGTGCAATCAAGAAATGTCTGATTTCACCTAACTGATACTGTCATTGTCATACGGTCATAAATTATTTTTTAAAAATACACAGAATGGCCGAAACTAAATAGAGGAACTTTTCATACCATAGTGGAACATAGACAATGATACGGAGCCCCGAAGGGGCCGTGGTTAATGACATCACGTTCCCTCACAAATGTTTTGCGTTCCCTCGCAAAATCTATGCTTGTCAGGCAGCAAGCAAACGTAGGACCAGAGGTGCCCAACGACACTGCCTACATTAGAGCTTTGTTTTCAGCATAGCTAACGTTAAAAGCTGTTTTCCCAGTTTGGCCCCTCTGTGCTGAGTTTATTCAGCTGTTGTTCTCTGCAGTGTCTGTAAATGTAGCTTTTACTGTACGAGGACCCTCGATCTCAGACTCAGTTTGAGTCACTAACAGCAGAATCATGTTTGATTTTGAGAAGCAACACTATGTCTTTATATTTCAATCCAAAATCAACATAAAATTCAATGAGCTGCTCCGTCTCTGAGCTTAAGCAAAGCACAGCTTTTGCAAGCGAATGCAAACCGTTTGCATCGTAATGCAAAACATTTGTGAGGGAACGCAATGTCATTAACTTAACCATGGCCCCTTAGGGGCTCCGTACAATGAAAGCAATACACTAGCTTTTTAATTTTTTATTTTAGGTTTGAAAATAGCCAGAGAATTTTATTTGAACTGCAAATGAGTGTATACTTTATAGATTATTAGTAATAGTATTAGTAATGATTGCACAATATACTATTGTTATCTGATTTATATTCTTCTTCTTATTATTAATTTTCTTGACGTATTTTTGTCTGCTAACTCGTCCCACAGTTTTCGTGATATCAACACCGCTCCAACTTCAGAATGTTTGTTCTAATCAGGAATGGCGTGCTTCCATACAGCTTTTTAATCCTACGTATGCTTTTTGTAATGTTCATTAAATTACGAATTTTCCCCATAGAAATGAATGGAGTAAAAAATTACACGTCCATCTACTGAACTTCTGCTCAACCCGAAAGACACTGTTGTCAGGGCAGGCAGCTGAGCATGAATTCAATCTTGTTCTGACCCATATTCATCTGTTTCTCTTTTTATTCTCATGCCTCGAATTTCCCATAGAGTTCCATTCATTTTCGCCCTCAATCAAACCCTATTATTTCCTACCAAACTGCATGTACTCACTCAAGGCAGGTCCTCAAGCTCTAATCCCCAGCCATACTGACCTGCACTCCTCTATGTGTCGTTTTTCATCCTTTGTTCCTTTCATAGAATCCCATTCATTTTCAACGACACATAGCTAAAATGTGGCAACTGCCTACAAACAACTTAATGAACACTTCATACACCAGGCTAACTGCCTAGTTTAATTTAGCAGCCGCATGGGATACCATAGCAACCGCCTAGCAAGACTTTAGCAACCGCCTGGGATACCAAAGTAACCGCCTAGCAAGACCCTAGCAACTATCTCGGATACCATGGCAACCACTTAGCAACACCTTAGCAACTACCTGTGATACCATAAA